CACTTTTAAATCATTTGTAATATCGTTGATGAAACTTACAAATAACGATGGCCCAAGAATGGGACTTTGAGGTACTCCAGGGGTTACATTTATCTCTTTTGAAAAGATGCCGCTATGTTCAACATAGTGTGTTCTGTTAGTCAAATATGACACGACAAAATGAACAAAAGATGGGACAACTCAGCATCAGTAAATTTATTGAGTAAAATACCATGATCCAACTTATCAAAGGCTTTGGAAAAGTTTATATCCATCGGATTGTTTATGTGGGGAGCTCTGAAAGGTATAATTTATAGTGGCAATAGGTACAAACTCGAAATCAATTCAGACAAAACAGTTATACAGCTATATTATTTCATACATTCTTTCGTACATACATTCTTCTTTCGTTCCTACATTCTTTATATTAGAAAAATAAAATACTATTAGTGAGAACAATAGGTATTCGAAATAGCTAATAAAGAGTGCATATTTCCAAATAATATTATTTCCATTTATAGATTACTGAGATATTACAAAAAAATATTCACAATTTTCAAGACTTCATTCCTGAGCTGCAAAATTTAAGTGAAATTGCCCTGCACATTTTTTTTTAATAATTCGAACTGCGGCTTAGAAAGTAAAATTAAGTTTTTTTATAACATACATCCCAGATAAAAGAAAGTCTACAATTATCCATTCCAATTATGAATTACAAATATAAAAAAATGTGTCATTTTTGTTCCTAATAAAATGTAGGAGGTCTGAATGGAGGTTCTGTAAGCCTATATATCTACAAGTTTAACTATTATAGAAGTTATATAAATTTTAAATAAACACTGAATCATGTTGGTGCCCACACGGGTATGATTTTATAAATATACGAAAATAACATAATTACATTTCGCTATGGTTTTTACATACCTTCACTTCAATATTATCAACTGTAATGAAAGAAACGGAAATAAATTCGGCTTCAATCGTTTTACTAATTAAAGAGAAATGGAACGTGCATGAATGACTGTATGTAAAATGGATTATATAACTGGCTTACATATTTAAATTCAATTTAGAGTATCTACTAGTACCTAATACCAAGATTAAAGTCAGGATTCACATAGTTTTATTAGAAGAAACCCATTTACAGTATTTACATCCTGTGCACTCATTTCCAACTATAAGCAAGAAAAGATCAGTACAGGATGATCCATAATTCTCTTTTCATTGTAATTTACTTATTTGCTGCCTGTAATATTAAATTCAAGTATTTTTATTCTTTTAGTACCTATTCCATTGTTCATAAAACTCTATTTTATTATTGCATTAACCAACAATTTTTTAGACTTCCCCATAGGTACGTCCCTGACCTTTTGCTCGGTTAACGCATAACAGTTTTGGAAAGGTCTGCCTCGTGGACAGATATATTTGTTGTGTCGAATGAGTTACCAAGAATAATTGTTTTTATGCCCTCCCGAATCAAACTGCTGGTAATTGCCATGTTGTCCAAACGATCGTGTTTCTGTTACAACTTGTACGAATTGAGACATACGGAACTAGATGGCGCAAAAGTCATCACCCTATTGGAAGATGCTATAATTTTTACAAATGGCGGTAAATGTAAGTTCTGCTTTAACATTTGTGAGGTAAAGAGATACAAAATACACGTCAATAAGACATGAATCGCTATACTCCTTAAGAACGCGGAATAATTTTTTCGATTTCTTTGCGTAATAATTCGTCGGTGGTGTTGACGCAGCGTGAATTTAGACGTAGATTTCCCGGTCGTCCGACACTAACTAGGCAAACACTACGGCGTTAAGCTGCTCGCCTAGAATAGTATTGGACAACACGAAATGCTGTCAGGTCTGGGCGGCCCCAGAGCAGCAATTCTGCTGAGGATGTCGCGGCTGTGGCTGAAGATGTGGCAGAGGACCCCGGAGTATCGACCAGACGACGTGCCACGTAATTGGGCATCAATCGGCGGTCTTTACAGAGAATTTTGGTGAAAGACTTCAAGATGTTCCCTTACAAAGTGCAGACAGTACATCAACTGCTAACCGTTGACCGCCAAGCGCGTGTAACCTACGCTCAAGACATCCTGAATCTCGATCATGAGGCAGACAACTTTTTATCATGAGCGCTACAGAGCCATGCTCAACGACTTTCTCCTACCTCAACTAGATGAATTGGGACTGGAGAACATGTAGTTCCAACAGGATGGAGCAACGGCGGTGGCGCATACTGCACGACCCACGACCGAAATTCTGAGGGCTGCATTTCCGGGTCGCCTAATCTCTCGTTTTGGTGATTTGCACTGGCCGGCAAGTCACGAGTCTATGTCAACAAGCCTCAGATTCTTGAAGTCCTCAAAGAAAATATCCGTCAGGAATGCGGGAACCTATCGCCGGAAGTTCTGGCAAGAGTGATGGAAAATGCCATAAATCGGGCACGTATCAATTCTGGCGGCGGCGGCGGCCACTTGGCCGATATTATTTTTTCTACTTAATGAAAGAAGAATTTAGACATCAAATAAGCACAATCCAAAAGCAAAACTAAAGTTTTTCATTTATTAAAAAAATTACAGTCAAAGAACATCGGGTGTCAACTTTTGCGCCACCTTGTACTTTCCAATTCCAGAAAAATTATGTGTTGTTAAAAAGAAATGGTGGGAATCTATCATTGTATAAATCCATCCAGATCTACATTCCGCCAAGGTCGAATTAAAGCATCCTGTACGAATCGATCCGTACAAAATTCAATGTTCGTTATACTGACCAGAAGTACTTTCTGGAGAAATCAAATAGCACGGGTTACGATTCTCGCTTCGGCGATGGCTTGTGGCGATGGTCTCTAGAACGGCTTGTGCGAATCGATTCGTACAAGACTCAATGCACGCTAGATCGACAAAAAATACTTTCTGGAGAATACTTTCTCGCTTCAGTGATGTCTTTTGGCGATGGCCTCTAGAACAGCTTGTTCGGATGGAGTCGATATGCGCCATATTAGCTAAATTTCCAATTCTTGCTCACGGTTTTCCATACTCATGTACGCCAAAATTATATCTAGGTTTAATTGAAAATAAATACTTACTCAATGTTGGGAATTGATTTGAAAAAATTGTTGAAATTGTTAGAGGTGTAGCGCCTAGTAAGTAAACACCGAAAAATAATTAGCTGTTGTTGTCTAAGGGAAATATATTTAACCTATACTTACGAAAACATACCCGTTGTAAAACAGACACTGTTTAAGTTTAAATAAGTATAAGAGCTCGTGATGCCATTCAAAAATGAATAAACCGATCCTCTTCTTCACCCATTTGGGGACTCACACGCAAGCAGCGGCTAAATTGACGTAACTAAGCTTGGAATTCATTGCGTAAAGTTCTAGCTAGGCATGCGCTAAAACAAAGCCCTATAGATGTAGGTACATATAAATATTTAAGTTTTGAACGGTTCTGGTATGAATATGCTCATACCAGAACAAATACTTGTAAATTCGTAAAAATAAAATGTTCACGTAGTTTACATCTCTCTTTAGACGATCAATGATGAAAGATATTTTATTGATAAAACATTATTAATTCACAGCGTTTTTGTAGATAATAATTTGTTCGCATTATCTTTAGCCGTTAAAACTTTTTAATGTTTCTTAGTAATATAGGTGTAACCTGAGGGTTTATTTACTTATTTATCTATCGTGCGAACAATACCATAACGACAGTAATTTGCAAAAAATATTATTATTTCTTATTTCTCGAAAAGGAGTTCATAAATTATCAATTACACTTTAATTCATACGTGGGATCTTGGAAATGTTGTACGTTCAGATAATAAATTTCAGACACTTGCCGTCCATTGCTCACGTAGCTGGTACTCCAGGGATTGGTTGTGTACAGGGTGTTACACTCTCATTCAATGGAACACTTGATTTAGAAAAAACAAGAAAACACCAGAACTTCTTAAGGAAGGTTTTTAATAATAACGTAAAAATTAATACAAACAAAACATCTGTATCACAACGGATTCAAACAAATAATATCACTGACTAAATACGCGACAATGTGTTTTCCGAGATTCAGGAAATCGCGGAGACATAGCAAATTTGGACTCTAGCTATTTCCCATTAATAAATCAACCCCGTGGTTCTAAAGTGAAAATAGACCGCACAGTGTGGAGATCGTTTTAGAGATCTCACTGGATTTCCACACTTTCACTTCGACCCTACCCATTTTGGGATCTAAAGTTCTGATCTTATTTGCTAGTTCAGACCTTGTTAATTCCACCCGCCTCCTCCTGGATCTCGGGAATATTCTAGGAATAATTTTACTATTTCTTACTGACAATTACACAACAAATTGAATTTACATTTAACCTTATTATTACACCTTCCTTCACTGTACACCTCTGAAGGGAGGAAGCCTTCATTGACCTAAATCTCTTGTTTTTTCTGAGAATGAAATGACTTCCTCTGTCAATTTCGGCGTTAATTTCCTTAAAACATCATAATAAAATATGGCGGTGTTTTGGAATTCCTACGGCCATGTCATCCTACTCTCGCGGGTAGATACCTGTGGAGCAATTTTTCCATTTTCTTATCCCTAATAGATGCTTATAGATGGCCAAAAATGTTTGCAATTCTACTTATTCAAAGTGCTTTCTAATATTTATGAGGTTCTTTTTTCAAGTGGCCGCGACGGTTGAGTTTGGTAAATTTATTGCTTTTGGTTAGAAGAGTTTTGCAGACATGCAGACACTTTCTTAATGACTATCCGGCTAATCAAGCCAACTCGAAGCGCGTTATATTTCAGTACTTGTTGCCTGAAATATTTATTACCGTACGAGTTAGCCCAAACGTTCCGAAAACTAACAAATAGATCATCACGCGTTCTGGCTTGTTACAGAGGAAACAAATTACAATACAATTTATTTTTAAGTAAATACTATTTTAGAAAGAATTTTTTTGTACTTAGTATCTTTTATTCATTTTATATATCTTAAATTAACACAAAATATTTTTTACAGGTTAACGCTCGAGAAGAATTTTGCGGCTTAGAGGAAGCAAGTACCCTAAATAATTTTTTTTTATTCTTTTAGATATATTCTGATAATTTTGATGATAGTTAATAGTGCAGTAATAGTTATATTAAATACTCTTAGTAGTATTCCTATTTATTTCTAAATGATTTGGCTTTTAGGAGACACCGAAAAAATGCCTTTTACGTAAATGGTACTATGATGAAAAACTATGGAACCATTTTGCTGGATTTAATTGTTATAATTTCACTGACACGTCGAGGCTCAGATTTAAATATAACTTCACAGCTTACCCTGTTTTATGTAGAAATGAGAACACCACTATACCAATAGCTGTGGTATGTACTTAATTTCAATACTTTTTATTATACGGGCCGCATCTAAACTGTAAGAGTTAGAAACCTGCAATTTTCACAGTTCGTTTTGGCATAAATTACTTTATCTTGTCATTTGTGAGCAAAACATGTACCTTATTTAGATTCGAAAATACTACGACCTACATTTAATAATCCTACGAATTGAAAAACTTTTTATTTAATGGAATGACCCATATTAATTGTCATGGATAAATGCAAAATTACCTTGCCCTTTCGACTGGTATAAGGTTGTTCATACTTATCTGTAACCGTTTTCCAGAAAAATCAGGTTCATTTCTAAAGTCCGAAAAAGTAGCTATGTAACAACATCAAGAAGGTTTTGCAAAACCACTTTTCTCTGACATTTTATCAGGCCTGGAAATGACAATGTTAATATTTACAGGCATAGGTATTTAAAAAGTGGTTTAACAAACAAAAGTAAATCACTAACAACAACTAAAACAAAACGCAAAACGAAACAAACTGAAACTCGGAACACAACAAAGAGAAGCTGATTTAAATCAATTGCTCGAAGTGTCCTCCATTTTGATTAATTCACAAACGAATTCGGTTTTTAAAAGACTGTTCAACATTAGTCAGCATGTCTGGCGTAATTTCTTGAAATGCTACTGTAATGCACTGCCACATATCTTCCGCGATATTGGTGGTGTAACGTAAACTTTGCTTTTTATAAATCCCCATAAAAATAAGTCGCAACTTGTCATTTCTGGACACCTTGAAGGCCATCTCACTGGTCCCCCGCGACTAATCCATCTGTGGGAGAAAGTCTCGTGTAAAAACTGACGAACCGCAGCGGTATTGTGAGCACCATCATGTTGCATCCACATTCTTTGAAGTATAACTAAAGGAATGCCGCCTAATAAATCTTCTAGGGTGTTTATTAAAAAGCTTAAATAAATTGATCTGGTTAGATGCTGGTCAAAAAAGAATAGACCAATGACATGGGTTCCCAAAATTGCTCCCCACACGTTCAAAGACCATCGTTGGCTATGAGTTGTTCGAAATTGGTGAGAATTTACTATGTCATAATAATGACAATTATGACTATTAACGAAACCATTTTTATGAAAAATAGCATCATCGGAGAACATGACCTGTTTAAAAAAATCATCATCTTGATTTAACATCTCAATTGCGCACTGACAAAACTCCAGTCCAGGCTGAAAGCCTAGTTGTAATAGCTCTTGGTGTAATTGGATGCAATAAGGATGTGCTGAGCTTTTGTAAAATCCTATGTATCGACGTTGTACTGATACAATTGCAAGGCCTTCTTGACGATGTTACATAGCTACTTTTTCGGACTTTAGAAAAACTGTTAGATATAAGGATGGACAACCTTATATCAGTCGAAAGGGCATTCAATTTTGCATTCATCCGTGACACTTAATATGGGTCATTTGGGTCCATTTGAAAAAAAAAAAGTTTTTCGACTCATAACATTAAATGTAGGTCTCAGTATTTCCGAGTCTGAATAGCATACACATTTTGTTACGAGATGACACAGATGACAAGATAGAGTAATTTATGCCAATATCTAGTCCCACTTAGAGAGGTGAAATAGTGATTTTTTTTTTCAAAAACAACTGAATATCTCGAAAAGGGTAAGTTTTAAACACCATGTACATTTAATAAACTGTACCTAATATTAACCAAGGAATTCAAAAACGCAATAATATACAGGGCGTTCCATTTAAAATAACAAAGTTATGTAGCCTACGCGAAATGGAACACCCTGTAAAGCTAAAAATATTTTCTTTACATAGCCTACATGATTCCAGACAACTTTTATTAAAACCATTTTTTTATAAATTTGACAGTTACAGAAGAATCCCTCTTAGGTATAATATGCTTTATTATAGAAATTAGGAAGAAAATGAATAAAATGTTCAAAATATACATATTTATAAGAATTGGTATAAGTTGTATAATATGGTTCAAAATCTTTAACAATATCTTCACGATTGTAGAAAAATAATGTTTTCCAGGCATAAACTATTTCTAGAAGAAAATTACGTTCTTGGCCATTCTAAATCAGTGGTACTTAACCTGTGTTCCGCGGACCCCTGGAGATACGCTATCTCCTCCGAAAGTGTCCGCGAAGTTTTTAGGAACATTTAATCACTATTAACAACTAATTAAGAATCCGCTCTCTTATGTCAGAGTGTAACTTACTGTTTATCTTTCCAAAAGCTGTAATAATTAATAAACAATTTGATTTTAAGGAATACTTGTGTTCATATAAATACAGCTTGGGAAATGTAAAGCAAAAAAATATTGAAAAAAGGGCGTTTAAGTTTATTCAGGGCGTTTACAAACTTGAAGATAAATTTTTAATGAAGATAGATATTGACAAAAGAAGCTGACTCCTAAAACTTTACCGTAGTAAAAGTTGTCTAGAATTGGTACAAAAAGTTCAAGTATCATTGAGATATTTAAATCAGGCCGAGTGACATAGCTTGTTGCCAACTGTTACTATATTCATTTCAATATCTCATGAAAAAACAACTCGGACTGATCGTTCTTTCAATACCACGGAATACCTCCTAAATATTTTCTCCGCCCACATTGGTTTGCACTCAGTTAAGAAAAAAGTATTGTCACACTTTGCTCTCTGTGGTGTCTACTCGTATCCATTGTAGCGTCCGAACACAAATGAATACTATTAATTTCTTTCGATGTACAGGGTTATTCACATAACGCTCTATCCCGTTGTCTGTTTTACCTTTCTATATAGGAACAAAATGGTAGACTATGGATTTAGGAAGTTCTTTTGCGAGTTCAAGGAAATATATAAAAAAACAATAGACTCTTTCATTTCGGATATATCAACCAAATATTTGTTTTTTAAGTGGTACCTTCCTTCTCCGCTTCTCCGGTGTTCCAATTAAAACTTCCCACCTGGCAAATATCGGAATTAAAAAAAAAACAAAAAACCTGAGACACATCGATCGATCTTTCCCACACATTAAAGTTTAAGGGTATTTAACGCCCCTGCCTAAGGGGTAGCTTCCAAGACACCAAAACTTACTCCATCATTTGTTTCCCTTGCAGAGAAAACCGACGTGTCTCAGGTTTTTTTTTGCTTTTTTTTTAATTCCAATATTTTAATACAATATTTTTAATTGGAACACCCTGTAGACGTATCGTATATTTGCTTCGATAGTTTGCACAATATTTCGGTTTATTTACTGATCCTGCACATAAGCAAGATTGCCATGGAACCATTGCATAGAGACCAAATTTTTATAATATTTTGTTTGAAATTTCGAAGAAATACATAAAAAAATCAGTGACTTGTATTTCAAATATATAAATCAACTTTTATTTATATTTTTATATTTCTTACTTTTTGGAATTGTTTCTTTTTTCTAATTGTTGTGATAAATAAGAGGTATCATATGTTTGCTCTGACAGTTTCCGCAATATTTTGGATTATTTACTGACACTATGCAATAGATAAAGTGAAGTAAATTGAACCAATGCATATCTTTATCTTTTCTACAATTAAATTTACTAAGAAAGATCGAATAATTTATATAATTTAAAGGAGATTGAGCGAAGTTAGCACCATCAATAAATTGGAACAGGGAATCATCTTTATATTTTCTTCCAAAGAAATAGCCTCCATTTTTAAAAGTAACCACGATTTCAAAACGAAAGTGCAAACAAAAAATCAATTATGCCTTTTCAAAGTAATCCGTAGATCAATAATAGTCCAACCAAATTACATTTGGAGAAAAAAAAATTGTTACCCAGACTTTTATAAGTGGAAATGGTAAAAGGACTTATAATAAACCTAAAAAAATAATGCGTGAGCAGGGGCGGCGGAGGGTTGATTAAGGGGGTTCAAAAGTTATGAAAAATTGTATCATTGGGATTTCTGGCGAAAGTTGACTTCAAACAAAAAAGTATCCAATACAAAAGTTGGAGATCATGCAAAAATCTACTACTTTTGCAGAGGTCACTTTTTAACATAATCTTAAAATTTCCGAGAAAAATGCGAAAAACATATTTTCTGATTTTTCGTTTTTTATTTCTCATTTCCACAAAAATAATTAAATTTTGACGAAACTTGGTAAAAATATACCTTTCTCTGTCTTAAATAACCTCAAATTTTTTTAGATATATAAAAGTCAGGAAGTTTCTGAGATATTAATTTTTTTCGGCCTGAAACATTTTTTTTTCAAAGAAAAATTCGACTTAAAAAAATCATCGTACAGAGTTCTGCCGGTCATTTTTTCATCATTCATCATTTTATTCGTTTTGACATATTCTTTTTGATAAAATAAAGAAATCTGTAATAACAGTTCAAAAACATGCTCAAAAATGCAAAAAAAATAAAAAGTGAACAATGAATTTTTCAGTTATTGTTGATAATGTATTTAAATTAAAAAGCATTTAAAAACTGATTACACCACTCAATTCTACGGAAAAAAATTTAAAAAAAAACTGTCTCATTGTTTGACCCAAAACTTTATTTTTGTAGAGTATTGCTATAAACATCTAAGTCGAATTACAAATGCACAAATAATAAATAAATTATCTCTGGATGATTTGAGATTTCAGCAATACAAAGTATTAACTACAAAGTCAACTGTTGACGCGAAATCCGAAAACCCGAAATTTTGCAAAATCGTTTTATTTTTTTCTGGCTTTATTTGAAAACGAATTTTAAATAAATTGCATATTTACATTGCCACTTTTTTCTATCCAATGTCGTCAACATTTTGCAATCCGACGTTTCGTCTTCGAGGGGCCATTATCAGATTAATTTTTTTAAATATTAATTATGTATTAGATGATATTACTATTGTAAAAAGGTTTTTAGCTGTCATTAAAAATTTTTCCTGAGTACGACTGAATGCTTTCAAAGTACCTGTATCTATTGGAGGAGAGAGAGGGAGAGAGAGAGAGAGAGAGAGAGAGGGGGGGAGAGAATAAAAGTAAATACAGCACAAAATATCCAACAATTTTTTTTAATCCATAATTTAAAAAGTTGTACCTAATAAAAAAATAATACGATTTTATGAAATATTTTATTATTTCTAATTAGTATTGATAATAGTAGTAAAAAATCGTTGGATATTTTGTGCGGTATTGACTTTTATACTGTTATGATTTCATCCAATAGATATTTTGAAAGCGTTCAGAATAACTAGATTTTGTCATAAAAATAGCAGCAACGTATTTAAAAAAATTAACCCGATGATGGCCCCTCGAAGACAAAACGTCGGATTGCAAAAATGTTACGCCATTGTACAGAGCGAAAAAAGTGGCATTGTAAATATGTAATTTAATTTAAAATTCTTTTTCAAATAAAGCCAGAAAAATTAAACATTTTTGCAAAATTTCCAGTTTTTCCGGATATCTCCGGAACTACCAGGAATTTTAAAACTTTCTAAACAGCATATTGTTAGGTATAAAAAAAACACAACTTTTCTCTAATCTGAGTCGCCCGTATCTCTTACCGTTTCCAAGATCATAGTGCTGTCCCATCCTTATCTTGGACACAGTGTATATCTATGAATTCATCAAACTTTAACAAAAATAAGAACACTAATCGATCCTATGGAAAAAAAATTATTTATTTTATTTATTCACTATTTGACTTACGTTTATACTCGTAGCAATACTGTACAAAAATAGTTTTGTGTCAAACAACGGGACAGTTTTTTTATACTTTTTCCGTACAATTGAATGGTGTAATCAGTTTTTGTTTTTTTTTTATTTAAACAAATTATCAACAATTACTGAAAAATTCATCGCTACAAATAATTTTTTACTTTTTTGCATTTTTGAGCATGTTTTGCAACTGTTATTACAGATTTTTTATTTCACCAAAAAGTATATGTCAAAACGAAAAAAATGATTACCGGCGGAACTCTGTACGATGATTTTCTTAAATAGAATTTTTCTTTGAAACAAAAAGTGTTTCAGGCCGAAAAAAATGAATGTCTCAGAAATTTCTTGATTTTTTTATCTAAATAAAAATTGAGGTTATTTAAAACAGAGAAAAGTATACTTTTATCAAGTTTCGTCAAAATTAAATTATTTTTGCGGAAATGAAAAATAATGCGAAATATCAGAAAAAAACAGTTTTTCGCATTTTTCTCGGAAATTTTGAGTTTATGTTAAAAAATGACCTCTACAAAAGTTGTAGATTTTTGCATGATCTACAACTTTTGTATTAGATACTTTTTTGGCTGACGTCAACTTTCGCCAGAAATCTCAATGATACAATTTTTCATAACTTTTCAACCCTCCAAATCAACCTTCCGCCGCCCCTGCTCACGCATTTATTTTTTTTCGTTTATTATAAGCCCCTTTACCATTTCCACTTATAAAAGTCCAGGTAACAATTTTCTTTTTTCCCCTCTAAATGAGTTACTTTGATCGGTCTACATATAAAGAAAATTTTTAATTTATAAAACCTGATCCATAAAACAGCATCTCATTTAACGTAGGATTCTAATTATTTCCCCTTTAAGTTCACCTTTAAATTAAGTTTTTTTTGCACTAAAACAATTCGAATTGGAATTATTGTTTCTACATATGCTACCCGAAGGGTCTTGGCCTCCTGAGTACGAATCCGGAGTCAGAATTGCTCCTACACACTTCAGTCTTCAGAAATCTGAAGAAATTCTTCATTTCACCGAAAACAAGCACCCCAAAAGGAATAAAAAACTACAAAGTCCACGTTGTTATTCCTGGATAATGTTAAATGCAGTTAAAAATTATACAGTTTTTCGACCTTAAAATGACCTTGAATTATCTTGTTCTTGAGGTTAAGTTCATATCTTATTGTAAAACTTCCCGCTCTTGTAATTTCCGAGGTCAAAAAAAGAGAGTCCCATTTAAAATTTTTAATTTGATCTTCAAACGACCTTGATCATTTTCAAGGTCATGTCAATATAGACCCCTTTTCACCCTGCAACTATATCTTCAATATAGTTCATTCATATTTGTTTGAATTTGCAAGAAAATTACTTAAAACTATGGTGTTTATCATGTTTTTCTAGACAGAAAGATAAAAAAGTGAGGTAGGTACAGTATTAGGTATGTGGATGACTCATGTGTTGTAGAAGAATATCCAAATACTGAATTTCCTTATGTGTGGTTGTGGCGGTATACATTGCCTTCTCATTCTTCGAACTTAAATCATTTAAACTTCTATTTTTGTGGGTATATACAAAAATTAATGTATGACAGAATATACATGATTTTTAAATTCGACGAGCTCGCTTACATATATGTTAACGAAGGTGTCATATAAGAATACAGCGTTGATATATCATTTTCACTACAGCAGTTGTTAATGACTTCGGTGACTCTTTGCCTTTTATAAATTAAAAAAATTATCGATTCAATAAAAATAATATTAAAATTGATAGAAAAATGTTTTATGAATGTAGACTATTGTCTTCAGTCATACAGTCATCAGTCCGTTCGACTTTTTAATGGATCACCTAGTATATTTTTAGAAAATAATTTGCATGAACTATAGTTCAATTTTAAGGTTTATCTCCTAACCTGATTTCCCAGTTGATAAATGAAATTTTGACTGTTAACGTAACTAAACTGAACTCAAATCTAATCAAAATAGAAAACGGAACGCCCTACTTTCTATTAGATAATTTTAATTATGGAATTAGGTACTTTCAAAACAATGTCGTTATTAAAATTTAAATTACACCTGTCATGTAGAGTGCTTTAACGTTGAAAATGAATTTTTTACATCAACCTGTCTTTAATAAATTAATTAAATAAATCACTTTTTTCCATTTCCTCTAAATTCTAATAAAATTTCTTAACAACTTTAAATCTAAAAATTACTCATATTCGGAGCTTGGTTAACAGTTTTCAATAGATCTATTTATATATCTATCTATTAAAAATTTTAGTTTTAATATACATTTCTCATGCATTTGTTAGATATAATTCTTTATTACTTTTTAGTTAGATGGCGTTCCAATCACTTTTTTTGATTTCACAAATGATACAGCGATGTCATACGTTAGAAAATCATTCAGAACAACGGCCTTATTCAACAATTTCCTATCCTGCTGTTATGAATCAGTGGATTGCTGTCAGAATAAGATGGATGAGTACAATATCTGGCACAGTAAGTCCTTTAAATACATATTAATTAGATCTGATTGCAGACTAAGCAGAAGTTTTAATATTATTGAACAAAATTTAGTTGAAAATCCATCAGATTGTGTTTTAGAAACTGTCTACGAACAGTATAACAATACTCCATAGCTTATAAATTGAATTGAATAAATAATTTAAACTTGATCACCGTACCATGAGATAATTGTTAGTTATGTTACTATTTAAAATATAACGATTGTGTAACTTCCTTAACCAATATCAGTCCGATCTCTTAAGTATTAATCTTCAAAAATTCTGACCCTTGGACAAAATCACTTCAATAGAACAAAGAGTGTCCCAAAATTCATTTTAAGAAGTAATTTGACAGGAAACACATTTTTTATTGTTTCATAAAGTAGACAGGATAGGGTTATGTAGGGAATAGCATATCGGGTAAGTGGCCTCCATGGCTCTGCTGGTACATACGCACTCTTTTGTCAAAATTTTTCATAACAGATTTACATAAATGGGATTGAATTTCGTTGATACAGCGCTCAATTTCCTCTTTCAAGGCGTGAGTGGTCGTGGGCTTGGTGGGCTTGTTGGCATAAATCTTGAACTTCAAACTCCAAAGTAAAAGGTCCAACGGCGTTGATTTGCATGATCTAGGCGGCCAATCCTAATCACCAAAACCTGAAATTAGACGATTAGGAAATGACTCATGCAGTAAATGAATTGTTTTTCTGGCTGTACGGCATGTAGCACCGTCTTGCTAAAACCACATGTCCATATCTTGCAATTTAGGCACAAAAACTGAATTATCATGCCTCGATAGTGAGCACCATAATCTGTCATTGTCTACCCAACCGCATTTTCGAAGAAGAATGGTCCGATGATGCCTCCAACCCAAAATCTGCATCAAACAGTGACAACCCGTGGATGCATTAGTTTCACACTCGTGGATTTTCTCCAAATGCGAACATTTTGTCGGTTTCTTATCAAGATGAAAATGAGTCTCATCGCTGAAGATGATTTTGTTCAAAAAATCATCATCCACTTCCATAAACCATTGTTCCATAATCCATCCATCGTGATAATACGCTGTAGAGAGCTTGTCGAATGTCCAATTCTAGACCATCGAGCCGAATTGATGTTCCTGGACTCTCAACAATACTCTCACGAACTGCTTCGATGTTTTGTGTTGAACGACTCGTTGAAGGACGGCCATAGTGTTTAAGATCACTAATTGATGCAGTCTCCTGGAATTTTCAATTAATCTCTTCACAGTTGATGATTATTCCGATTATGTACGAAATTTGCGAATTGTAGCTGCTAAACTTTCATTTTTAAAATATTGCTCAACAATGGAAACGCGTTTTATTAACCCTGAACTGTCAGCTGTCACACTGTCTTTTTTTTCATTGGCAGCACTTTACCGCACAAATGGCGAAATTCAAATCCTGCGAGAATTTTGGGACACCCGCTCTTATATGTATAAGTTTGTTTAAAATACCTTAAAGAAGCTTTAAAATGGAGGAGTGTTAAAGTTGTACTTTACATTACTGTGAAAATGGCTCCAACTTTCAAAAAATTTTGAATTCTTATATAAATTATTGAATTAAACAGAGTAGTAAAGTTTGAACATAAAATGACGCCATCACTTTGTTCCAAGACTTGTACTCGAGGCAGGCAATATTTGTGTCACTATTTGATACATGCTTTCAATTGTCTAAATGAGTTAATTATTTTCTTTTTAGATTCAAAAATTATGTTGCAGCATATCTACTTATAATTCTAAAACAGTTTATTAAAACCTTTTTTTGGCAGATGAAACACACTGTCCAGCAATATGGGACGCTTGGACATGTTTTCCTCCTACAAAAGCAAACACGATTGCAAGACAACCATGTAGTAGTCAGGCCTATCAGTCTCCTGAACACGTCTGCCGATGTAAGTTAATAAATTTACATGGATGTATATTTCTAAATCTAATTTTTATAGTAGAAAGCCAAAAAGAATGCAAGTGGAATCCGACTTACAACTTATCCATTTGGGTAGAGAAGACTGATTACAGTGTATGCGCTATAGCTCCAGTGTATGAGAGAAGGCATACCTACCACGTTGTAGCTCTTTGTGTCTGCACAGGCTTTTGCTTGCCTGCAATAGTGATATTCTTCCTCTTTGAAAAACTTCGGCGGACAACCCGTGTCATTCTTCACAGAAACTTATTAATCGCTATCTGCATAAGAAATATTTTAACTACTTTAACTAAAACAATTATTATCTTGGATGCTCTAAAATCGGCATCAGCTAGTAATGATGTAATGGCAAACAATGGAGTACCATGTAGAATTCTGGCATTCTTCGAGTGCTGTGCGAAGAATCTAATTTATGCTTGCATGCTGGTGGATGGATTCTACTTGCATAAAATAATAGTAAAGTCATTTACGAATGAAATTCATATAAAGTATCTATATGCTGCTGTGGCAGGTGAGTAGTATTGGCATTAAAGTCTTACGTTGTTGCAATGGAAATTAGGATTTATATAAAAAATAACCTTTACACATACACGCAAATATACAGGGTGTCCGTTAAAGAATGGGCCAAACTTTACTACTAGATTATACGACTAAAATTAATGGGTAAAAAGCGTATAAAATGTTTTATGCATTTACAAATTTAATTGCCTTTTTGTTGAAAACGGTTGGTGTTAGAGATAATAATAATATAATAATATCTCTACTCCTCATTCTAACTACGAGAATTAGCCCAGAAGTCGGAGACTTGTGCGGGAGAGGAGGCGGCATATTATTATTACGCAGGCCGCATTTGCGTCCAGGAACGACTTATGTTGGTAGGCCCTAACCACCATTCAGTGCAGGAATGAGGGAAACCTGGAAAACCTCATTCAGATATTAGCAAAGTATACCTTTTTTAAGCAGAAAAGTTGTGCGAAAAGATTTTTCCAGCCCAAAGTGAAAGACATGGTGGCACAAAAAAGTTTTGGCAGTTCAAATGCGTTCGAATGGTCGCTTGTGGTGCCCTGTATAAGATACAATGAAATCGTCAATGAATTCTATACTAAATTAGGTCGAAGTAGTAGAAATATATTAAAGAAATTGTTTTTTTTTTCAACTACAACACCCTGTATCTCGAAAACTAAGCGTTTACGAGCTTTAACGGATACCCTATATATTGTAATAAATTCTTGTGAGATGATAATTTTCTTACCTTTATTTGCTTATACTGCTTCGCTTCTTCTTTGTATCCTATTTCTTTTGTTTGGGCACCAGTTCACATGAGCATATACATAGTAACACATTTAATAAACATTTATAAATATTTTTATAGTGAAAATATTGACAAATAAATTAAATTCAAGAAAATGTGAAGTATTGAACAGGAAATCAGGCACAATTTAAACCGACAAAAGACTTGCTTTTTTAACATTTTTTGTTCAAGAAACTTTTCGAATTGAAAACAAATTCTCTAGTCAGGGACTTTTTTTGAAATTGGCAACACATTACCAACATTATAATGACGGCAAATTTGAACTGTGATAGTTTTTATTTAAGTTGCTAGTATCTGATTTTTTATTTGAATTATTTATTTCAAAACTAATATGTATCACTCCCAAAAATGTTCTTTTTAACTAATTTTCGTCACTATGGCAACATTACAGTTCATCCTGTATCCTGTTCCAGTTTTGATTTCTATTTCTATAATTTTGAAAACAACATTAATATAATCCTTGAGTCAATGAGTGAATATATGGCAATGACTTATAAATAATTTAACTGCTGACAATGTTACAATTATTACTAAAAAAATTATTAAATATTTTTCCAGGATATGAATTCTCAAATAAGATTCATCTTTATATTGCTGCCCCTAAGTTAAATAGAGATATTGAGATAATATTAGGTATATAATAAACACAAAGAAGCAAGGAAAATGAGAACAAATTGTTGTCAGTATTATACAGGGTATCCCGCATAAGAACCGACACAGGGCAGGTTCATGTAGGGGTGTCCAAAATATTGTAATTTCACCAAACTTACCTATATGTGACCCTGCATACAGAAAGAGACCTAGTGTGTCAAAACAAGAATAGTGGGAAAAGGCGTTCAATTTTTTGATGACCATTTTTTCCTCATAAATATTTCTTTCTAATGCTTTTGTTGGTTTTCTTTCCCAGTTCTTGCCTCACTCATGGAAGATATGTAGCCTCAAGGACTACAATTCGGTAGGAAGAACCAGGAATCAGTTGCAAATCCGTAGTTTTGACACACTAGGTATCTAAATGACACTGGGTCCGTTTCTACTGCAGAACGACTTATTTCACAAATTCGCACGTTGAAGCTACTTACCGATCATGTTTAAACCTGCCACTATCCTCACGTGACTTTTCATGGTCTTTCCCATAGTAATTGTCATAAACAACCATTTCGATAATTTGACACACTAGGTCCCTTTTTGTATGCAGGGTCACATATACAAAGTTGCACCCCTGTGGAGTTATTAGCCCTCAAAGTGGGGCCCCAAATTTCGAAAAAAATTAATATCCTTGCAGCACTTTACCGTAGAAGAACCAAATTTGGTACACAATTTAGGTTTATTACTGGTCTTCTTTGACTTTGATTTAAAGTTAATTGAAGCACTACAAGGTGTTCATTGGGGATGACTCACCCCTAAAATTGTACCAAACTTTTTTTTCAATGACAGAATTGAAAAATAGTAACATTAGTTCACGGTAGATTTTAATTCTAAATTTTTTTGTACTCTTGTTAAATTTTAAAAGACTATGTGGTTTTCAAGAAAAACCGTATTAACTGACAAGATTTTAACAGTGTTCATTAGAAAATAATGAAAAAGTCGTAGGCTTTATCTTTCAAATTGACAATTAGCCAAATATTTTTTTTTATTAAGTAAAAAAACACAAGTAAATAATGAAAATAATAAATGATATACTTTCAACAACAATCAGAGGCAATTGTTGAAATAAAATAATTTTATTACTAACTGACAAGATTGAAAGATAAATTCATTGCCTATTGACTTTTCGATTATTTTCTAATAAACACTGCTAAAATCTTGTTTCAGTTAATACGGTTTTTCTTGAAAACCATAAAGTTTTTCAAAATTTAACAAGAGTAAAAAAAAAATTTAAATTAACTTCTGCTGTGAATTAATATTAATATTATTGTTCAATTCGGTCAATGCAAAAAAAGTTCGGTACAATTTTAGGGATTGTAGTGCTTTAATTAATTTCAAATCATAGTCAAAGAAGANATTGACTACTGACTTTTCGATTATTTTCTAATAAACACTGCTAAAATCTTGTTTCAGTTAATACGGTTTTTCTTGAAAACCATAAAGTTTTTCAAAATTTAACAAGAGTAAAAAAAAATTTAAATTAACTTCTGCTGTGAATTAATATTAATATTATTGTTCAATTCGGTCAATGCAAAAAAAGTTCGGTACAATTTTAGGGATTGTAGTGCTTTAATTAATTTCAAATCATAGTCAAAGAAGACCAGAGATATTAATTTTTTTCGAAATTTAGGGCCCCACTTAGGGGACTAATAACTCCTCAGGGGTGCATCTTTGTATATAGGTAAGTTTGGTTAAGTTACAATATTTTGGACACCCCTATATATACCTGCCCTGTGTCGGTTCTTATGCGGGACACCCTGTGTAAGTATTTAATATAGGAAAAATAGGTTACGTTAGATTCTTATAAGCAGATTGTCAGTTAGCATTATTTTAATGACAAAAATGTGAGGTTTCAAAAATGAATTATTAAACAAAATTTACTCCTCCTGATGAGTTAAATAGGTAGGTACGTGGTTAAAAATTTGACATGTATTTCTGGGACAGTCTATTATGTATCTTATCTGGAAGCCTAGAATATTTTAAAACATTTTTAATTTTAGGTAAAACAGTATATTTCGAAAAAGGAACAATGAAAAAGGAAACCTTTCATGCACCTTATCCTTCCCATTACTTGTTGGAATTAGATACATGTGGTTAAAAGTCTCATTTATAATGGTTTAAATTGTTGAGTTATTTATTTTAATTACCTAAATATAATTTTGCAATTTTATTTCTTTTTGTATCTATTGGAGATAGTTCAATTACTGTTAATAATTTCAAAATGCATCTTATAAATACACAATAATTATCTTGATGGCAATAATTTTAACATCACAAACATCATGTGGATATTGAGTCAATCAGTAAATTAAAAGATATGATTTTATTACTGTTTTCTTATTGAAAATATCCTCAATACAGGAAATTAGAAAGCTGCACCTATTAATTGTTTCTTACCTATACTATAGCAATTAGGAAATGGCATGTTTATTTAATATATCTAATATATCTTAGTAAGTGATTACTTGAAATAAACGATGAACCTTCCGAAGTCATAAATTATATGCTCAGTTCTGATCGTCATCAGAAAAAAATTAAAGCCTTTTCTTGTTATATTTTAAAATCATTAAAGTACCTACTACTTACCAGATTAATATACAGGGCGGGCCATTAGTGCGAGAAAGTAAAATAACTCCCTTGTTACTCATAATACGGAAAAAAAGTTTATATAAAAGTTAAACAAAATCAAGAAACCTAATCTACAAAATTAATTTGATACATACAGGGTGATGAGTAAAAAAGGGACACGCTAACTATTATATTTTTAAATGGAACACCCTGTATATTTTGAAACATATGGATTCCCGAGAAAATTCTATATATGGCGATATAAACATTTTAGTGCGGGGTTGCCAACTTATGTAGAAAATTCTTCGAATTTTGGAAAAAACATGACCTCGAAGAAGTTGTATTGACTTTCTACTAACGCTTGACAGAGTTATAGGCAAATGTTAGGCAAAGACTCCTATATTAGCTAATATTGATATTGTATGCAGGACATTTTTTACAATACGATCATCTTAAGAAAGTTTAAATTTGATTTTCTAAAATTTTTCAAATGGAACAATAAAATACACCCTGTATTTTATTGTTCTATTTTATTCACATATCGGTCCACTTCAACTTTTATTAAGCATGTTCTATATCTAAAATTGTTAGTTTTTAAGATATAGCAACATTTCTGAAAAAACTTAATTTTTATTATTTTATAGAATACCACAAATAAATATTACCTACTAAAATTAACTCAAAATGGAATGATAACTTATGAACTGACAAGTTAACACAATGTGACGGTTTAGTTTAGTTAATATTTATTTGTGCTATTTTATAAAATAATAAAATTTAGGTTTTTCCAGAAATGTTGCTATCTTAAAAATTAACAACTTTAGGTGTAGAACATACTTAATAAAAGTTAAAGTGGACTGATATGTAAATAAAATAGAACAATAAAATACAGGGTGTTCCTGTAAATTTTCGAAAATCAAGTTTCAACTTTCTTAAAATTATCATATTATAAAAAATGCCCTTTATAAAATATCGATATTAGCTATTATAGGAGTCTTTGCCTAACATTTACATAACTGTCAAATATTTTTGCTCCAAGTGTTCGTAGTTGAAAGTACAACAAGTAGTTATATTTGTTGAAAGTACAACAAATACAACTTCTTCGAGGTCATGTTTTTTCCAAAATTCGAAGAATTTTCTACATAAGTTGGCAACCCCGCACTAAAATGTTTATATTGCCATATATAGAATTTTCTCGGAAATCCACATAATAATAATAATATAGTTTATTTACTTATATAAACACTACAATACATTATATAAAGGAAATAAGCAGTAAATAAACATAATCCCCTTAAGCAAGCTTGTTTAAACATGTTAAACATGTTTAAAAATATACAGGGTTCCATTTAAAAAATGTAATATTTGGCATGTTCCGTTTTTATTCATCGACCTGTGTGTTTCAAATTAATTTTGTCCCTGAGGTTTTTTGATTCTGTACAACTTGTATATAAACATTTTTTCTGTATTATGAATAACAAGGGAATTATTTTACTTTCTCACACTAATGTCCTACCCTGTATACAGGGCGGTCCAGATTTTAGTTAGACAAACTTCGGGAAACTACTAAACAACAAAAAATAACATCACTATGCTCTATGAATATAGGCGCAGAAATGAAATCGGAATATATCAGACCGTTATAAAATGTATTCATATTACCAATTAATTCAGTGGCGTAGAAATTTTACCCTTGTTTCTCCGCCACTGGTTTTTGAATTTGGACTATGTGCATACAGAACTAAGAGAAATATTCGAAAAAAAATGTGTACCAAATTTGCATAAATTCGATGGAGCGGTTTTCCAGATATTTAAAAAAATTGTTTTATCTTTGATAATTTCAACGCCCCGTATCTCTTAAACGGTGGCTTTCTGCCCCTATATTCATAGAGCAAAGTGGTGTTAATTTTTGTTGTTTAATACCTTCCCAAAGTTTGTCTATTAAAATCTGGACCACCCTGTATGTAAACATATCAAACTTTTCTCGGATTTGTACTTATTTTTGAAAGCTAGATAGCCGTTCACATATTTTGTCATTTATGTCTATAATTATACAAGGTGTCTGATAAATAATGGATAACCTAATTACCGTGGATGGGGAACCCTAAGGTCGTTCAGGTCCTTCAGGTCGTTTTTGTGTTAGTACAAAGTCCTTTCGTTTTTCAGTTATTTTGTTTTTTTTTTCGAAATTTCCGCTATAGGTTACTTTATTTATAGGGCCACAAGAGAACCTATTATCTTTCAGTTATTTTGCGTAATATTCTTGAATTGTGCAGATGCTTATCAAAATTTTTAACTAGCAATAGTAGTTCTTGTTTAAAAAAATCTTAAACTTAAATTTTACGATAGTCAGCGAAGACACAAACGAAAGCTCCGAAATGTGTTCATAAGATGGTGCGGAGCCTAAATCAGAGAAGGCAGACAATTCGAACGTTTACTGTAATTTTTATATAAAATTAAATAATAACTGAAAGATACGTTCTCTTGTGGCCGTAGTGACCAATAAAGTAACCTATGGAGGAAATTTCGAAAAAAAACCGAAATAACTGAACAGCGACTAAGACAAAAGTCGATTTTCTAAACGACCTGGATCCTCCATCCACGGTTAAAAGGTTATCCATTATTTACCGGACACCCGATATACATTTCTCTATAAGCGACATTTACCATGAGACCTATTAGGGGTTGAGAGAGTATAAAACATAATAATTGAATGCGTTTTTAACCACATTCTCTATTAATGCATTAATTATTATTATCCATTTTTTTTAGTATTAACTCTGGTGCCCAGTATGGCATGGGCTATCACGAAGGGAGCATCTCACGGAGACAATTGCTGGATGGTAGACACCAATGGGTACCAATGGATCAACGATGGATTTCGGATAGCAGTTTTAGCCGTCAACACATTCCTGCTGTTAGATATAATAAGAATCATGTTACTGAAAATGAAACATGGGAACACTACGCGTCAGACAAAGTACATATATCTATACCAAATTGGCAATACCTTTACAGCCCGACAGAAAAAGATTATGCTGTGAGCATATTAAGAGATTCTTGTAAACCTGTAACGTTCTGGCATCTCATTCAGTGTTGGTTTACTTCTACACAGGGTGGTCCAACGAAGATGTAACATCTGGGGAGATAAATTTGTAATACAGGGTGTATCAAGAAGAGGGCCCAATAGGATTATCTCGAAAAGTAGCCAAAATTGAAATCTGAAAATTTGTATACAGGGTTTCATCAAAAAGATTTATTCAATGAAAATAGTGTCAATTTCCTCGCACTTCCGGTTATACCGGAAGTCACCATCAACTCTGTTATTTCAAATGGAATACTCTGTATATTTTTGTATTTTTTAATTCTAAGGTAAATTCTAGACTAATTTCATATGTGAAAAATGTGACAATTTTCAAGTTATCAATTTTCGAAAACAATTGAGGGATGCAAATGATTTTGGAAAACAGAATAACTCCAACATTTAGGTTTATTTATTAATTAAATTTGGCAAGGATAATTTAAAAGCAATGGAATTCAACCAGTTTATGTCAAATTGCAAAAATTCATACAGAGTGTTTAACAACGTGTGGCCAATATTGTGATGTTAAAGTTGAATTTACTCAAATATTTCAAATGGCACACCCTGTATGCATTAATAGATTCACAATTAAATTGACTTTAAAATGACACATATAGTTGCCATACCCAAAGATAACAGTTCTTGAGTAAATTGGAAATTATTGATTTCAACACAGAAAAATCTACGGTGGATTTGATGCATTAAAGAATTGAATAATAAACGGTATCTGATTAATGAACTGTAATTTTTATTATCATTATACCTTCATCAAAAACAATAATTCAGTATATTAGATTAAAAAGAGCGATGCTTTCAAGCCCACAATACTCGTAGATTTTTCTGTGTTGAAATCAATAATTTCCAATTTACACAAGAATTGTTAACTTTGGGTATAGGGAACTATAGTATAATTTTAAAGTAAATTTAATTCTGCATCCATTAATATAATAATATATAGGGTGTACCATTTGAAATTTTTGAGTAAATTCAACTTCAACGTCACAATATTGGCCACACGTTTTAAAACTCATGAATTTTTGCAAATTTGTCATAAACTGGTTGAATTCCATTGCTTTTAAGTTATCCTTGTCAAATTTCATTAATAAATAAACCTAAATGTCGGAGTTATTCCATTTTCAAAAATCATTTACATGCTTCACATTTTGGCCTATAGTACCTTATATGAAAATAGTTTAGAATTTGTCATAGAATTAAAAAATGCATAAATATACAGTGTTCCATTTGAAATAACAGAGTTGATGATGACTTCCGGTGTAACCAGAAGTGCGAGGAAGTTGACACTATTTTCATTAATAGATATTTTTAATAAACCTCTGTATACAAATTTTCAAATTTCAATTCTGACTGCTTTTTGAGATAATCCTACCGGGCCCTCTTCGTGATACACCTTGTATATTAGGGATAATAATATTATCCACGCCACTTATTTCTTCAACGTTTTATTTATACCTTCAGTACTTCGTAAAGCCCTTGCAGTACTAGAAAACACAATTTTCATTTAAAACGGCAAAGACACCTTAATATTCTGGAAATTTCATCAATGCATTTGATTCTTTACTGGGTTGGCATTCAATAAAGAAAAAACTAATAGTTTTCGAACAATTTGTTTCAGTAAATCAACAGTAATTTCAAAACTTATTTTTATTTTGTGAAGAATACAAATTTAAATCCAATGTTAAAGATTCAGAAATTGGAGAAGACGTTTTACATTTTTAATTGAATAACGCGTACCAAATTTCTGAACGAGTGTTTTTTTCCAGGGTTTTTAATGATTACATTGTATCTTTACTTTATTGTAAATTTATTAAGCTAAATGAAATAAATTCAAAAAATCGTTTCCTGAAAATGTCAGTTAGCAAGTCAAAGTTCTTGAATACCAGAAATTCACAGACAAAATTCCTAACTGTTGATATTACAGGAAACGACTACTATGTAGGTTACATATCCCAACTGGCATTGAAATACACCAACAATATATAGTAAATAGCCACTAAATATAATAATTAATACACATACTTTCTAAAAATACTCACATCAGTGATATCGAAAGTTCGAGAATTTTTTGTTTCTAGTGATAATGTCTCCTACTATATCAGGCCTACCTGTACAGATTTAATTAATCTACATGAAATAGCTTTCGGAAAATTTGTGTTAATGTGAAATTTGAAAAAACTTCAACACACCTGTATGTTCATAGGAATATATTTTCTTAAAATGATCTAGCCTTTCCCAAATACCAACAAAATTTATCTATTTAGACGTTTATTGTATATTTTGCCCCTGTATGTTGGAATAAGTTAAAATGTAACCTCTTCTATTTCTTTATTTGTGATATCAATACGTGAATTAAGGGCCGGAATTAATATGCAGGAGGATCGTTTCACATGTCAAGCGACACATCAAACTAGAAAAGTAAACTTATTGATTACAAATTAGGTTCAAGAATAAACAGTTCCAGAGTCGTACTGTATTCTCACCCAACATGGTTAAAATTGTAGTTTTCTTCAAAGCAAAATTTTGAATACAAATGCGATGGGAAGGGAAAAAAAGACCTGACGCGTGATCAGTTGAAGTAGTGATTACCTGCAACTTGCGGCACAATGATTTTGCTTGTTTTTATTTCGCCTGTATCAAGGTGGCAGATAAACTTAATTGTAGCGTAGATTTTCTTTGAATTAGATTTTGACTCAACAGAAATACGTGAGGAAACGCATGCAAGGTAATCAAGTTATAGAAAATATACACTTTTGTCATTGAATTATAAAGGAACATTTTTAAAACAGTTCAGTCTCATTCATTTTAAAATAACTAATGTACGGTTCCTTATTTTTGGTGAAATATTTATTACTTGTGATGTTTTGAAAACTATAGTGGAAAGCAGGTATAGGAAACATTTGTCGCTCCTTTGAGATGATGAAAAATCAAAAGTAAAAAACAAGAAGTAGTTATGCGGTCCGATAGTAGCGAAAATATCTAATCATTTAAACGGAAGTATAGAGAAATTATTTTAAAGAATTATGGAGATTTTTAATATGCATAGTACTATTCTCAATTAAAGCAGCGATTTCGCTCCCTTAACTACCTTAAAGGTTATAAACCAATCGCCTCGCCTATCGATTCGTATTTTCAAATATATTAATTGCTATATTACTTTTCGATATTCAGGGTGTTTCAGAAAGCCCCCCTTTAAATACAGGGGTGATAGTACGACAAAAAAAAAAGTTATGCTACATTCCTATTACATTTTGAGTTCAAATTTTTTTAAGGTTAGCTTTTTTACCATTCGGGCTCCAATTCCTAATGTACAATTTTATTTTCTAAAAATAATGTACTCTTGTTAGAACTTCCTAATGTGGACGGTTTTCCAGAAAATAGGTTTTTAATTGAACTTTTACAATATTACGCTGTATAAAATAAGTGACCTTTCTCAAAGTAGGCTTATGTCAAAACTAATTGATGGATGTCTCATAAACAACGCATACATTCTTAGTAATATTTTAAACTCTAATTAACTTTACATCAAAATTGTAGTGACTGTAATTAGTGATTAATAACTACAGTCACTAACAATCACTAAAATTTTGATATAAGATTAATTAAAGTTTAAAATATTACTAAGAATGTATGCGTTGTTTATGAGAAATCTATCAATAAGTTTTGACATAAGCCTACTTTGAGAAAAGTCACTTATTTTATATGAATGTAGCATAACTAGCGCCCTCTATGAAATAACCAAAAAATAATTAGACCAGCGTATTTCGCATCCTTAGAAACCCCGGAATACCAAATTTCATAAAAATATTTCGCACCGTTTGGAAACTTTCTTAAATATTCTATTTAAAAATTTTTATTTTGTCGCTCTGTATCTCGAAAACAAGAGGAGATAGACATATAGTTCATAAGACAAAAAATTCTTATTTTTTCTCGTACTCGAAAAAACCGTCCAAAATCTATTTTTTTGTTTTTGCTGTACCTCTTGCAAATTAAGGTTTTGAAACTTGTTACCTACTGTAAAAGTAGCACTCGGCAAGCAAAAAAGTGCCTTTTTTAAATTAAAAAATATTAAACATTTTTCGAGTTAATTATATTGATTTTTCGAAAAAAAGGTCAACTCAAAAATCGGCTCTTCTTGCTCGATAAATAGTCGTAGAGAAACCAATCAGGGCTAATTTTTTCCCTTAAGAGTTGTACTTTCATGATGAAAAAGAGTGACAATGATTTTATTTATTCCAAGTGTCCAGAAAACACTGAAAAAAGTGAAAAATTTTTGGTCACGTTTTTCCTTAATCTTTTTCGGTTTTCATTTCTCGATAATGTCTATTACATTAATCGATTACTGGCATTTTTACGCAAATTAAAATAAAAAAACGTTGCTCTGCGATCTTCTCGAGCCGAGACATTTTTTTTTAATTCCACAGGCCGCTATTTAAGTGCTACAGCGTCCATTCTTACAGAGATTGAGGTTGACATATTTTCAATAAGAAAAATACTAATTATGATTCATTTTAGCTACTTCTGCATTTTTAATTGTGCGTCAAACCGATGCATTCGAACGTGGCGCGAGCTAACTGAAGCGGGCGGCGGAATGGGGGTACGCTACTCGGCAGGGATGGGCGGGTAGACAATGTCGACGTAGACAATGCAATTGTCTATGCGTAGACAATGATCTAGATGAAGACTTAATTTGGAAGAGTCGACAATGTAGACAATGTCGACAATGTCAACAATTAAGAAACTCTCAAAACTAGAAAAAGGTGTGGTAGGTATGTACCTCAAAAAAAGAATTTCGTAAGGCTGTAACTCGTGATTCTTGCAAAAAAAGAAAAATTGAAAATTTGGAATTTGGAAAAGTACCTACCTATCACAACCATCTATAAAAAAAATGTATGAACCGAGTACAAAAGATCAAACAATATCTGCCGAGAATTCACGAGAAAAAAAAAGTGTGTCTCGCTTGATGCTCCTCGATAGTTTTAGGTCAGGTCAGATTGACCAAATTTTTTTTTTCTATAAAATCTCTAAATAAAGATATGTCGCATATATTCTTTAATGAAAATTTTATCATTTTTAAAGTCAGCAACAATTTGGAATATCTGATTAAGTTTTAAGAACACTTTGTGTAGATATTTTAGTTTAGTTAGAACACGTTAATTTTATTTTTTCTAAAGGTGTTAGAGTTACAGAAATTAATAGAAAAAAATTTTATTAAATATTTCTACTAATTTATAATATAGGTACCCTTTCAAAATAATTTTTGTTTCAATCCTAGATCATATTATGTAAATATATAAGATCTAAGATTTTAATACAGATCATATAGAGCTGAGCTTTTCAATAAACGATAAATGGTAACATATTTCTGTAAATATTTGCAGAGGCACAAGATAATGTTTTTTATTGCATTTTCTCTAACTAAATATTATGTGTATATATTGGTATATGTACCTCTATAGATATATGAGTATTATATATACAGGGTGTCCCCAGTTCGGGTTGCCTATACCTGAAATAGATACAAAATTTCAATTGTCAAAAAAAAATCATTCTTCATAAAAAATTTCATTACTTTTTCACGTAGCGTTAAGATTTAAGGTATTTTACACTTCACTGTTTTTACCTTTTCCAAATTTTTGAACACCCTGTAAATTAAATTAAACAAATGACTATCTTGCCAAGGGCTTCTGGACAAGCAAACATTTTCATGAAGAATGACAATTGAAATTTTGTATCCATTTCAGGTATAGGCAACCCGAACTGGGGACACCCTGTATATTCCCTAGTTTTCACTTAATGAGGTCACGAATGGAGACTAAAATTTTAAAATTAAATAAACTGTTTTTTACTGACTCTTAATTTATATATTTATATAATTTTTTTATAATAATTTTTGTTTTAAAAAATATATATTAAGTATACAAAAATGAAAATTTTCACTTTCTTGATCTTAACCGACCAAAATTATAATTTGCTTTACGTCCGCTCATTTTATGTTTATGTAAAAACAGCCAAACAGAAAAAGTTGAGTGATGAATTGAGTACAGCACAAAATAGATCAAACGTAAATGTAACGCAAATATAATATAGGTTAGATTAAACTGAAATTAGAGCGCAAACTCCGCTTTGTCTACATTCTCTACATAGTCTACGTTGTTTAGTCTAGTCTACGCGAAGTAGACGTCGACAATAATTAAAGTCGACGCGTAAACGCCCATCCCTGCTACTCGGCCGCGCTCGAATGCTTCGGTTTGACGCACAATAAAAAATGCAGAAGTGGCTAAATTAAACCACAGTATTTTTTTATTGAATATATAAGTCTTTAAGTTCAATCTCTGTAAGAATGGACGCTGTAGAGCTTAAATAGCGGCCTGTGGAATTTTTTGAAAAGAAAAAAATATATCCTGGATCAAAAAGGTCGTAGAACACGTTTTTTGTTTAATTTGCGTAAAAATGCCAGCAATCGATTCCTGTAATAAACATCGAAAAATGAAAATCGAAAACGATATTCAAGAAAAAGGCGACCAAAATATTTTTACTTTTTTCAACGTTACTTTTGGATACTTGAATTTTTGCTTGCCGAGGGCTACTTTTGCAGTAAGTAACAAGTTTCAAAACCTTAATTTGCAAGAGATACAGCAAAAACAAAAAAAGTCGATTTTTAACGGTTTTTTTCGATATATCTCGAAAAGTAATATAGCAATCGATATATTTAAAAATACGAATCGATAGGTTTTTTTTAATAGTTACAACTATCTCACTTAACTTGTTCCGATTGGAGTTCAAGTTGTTTTTTGTGAAAAAAAAACACTATATTTTTTTTCCTACATCACCATGTTTTTTGTTTCCAGGTGGTATTTTTTGTAAATTTAACATTATGCCGTGACAGATTGATTGAACTATTTAGAGTACCTACAAATACTAAAAATAGGAAAACGTGTATTCTGTTTAATCAGTCGCTTTAATTTTATCGTAATGTTATTTACACCCTGTACTCCGCTTCTACATTTTTTAATATTTTTTATATAAAAGTCATCAGATTATTAACACCCAGTACATTATATATATTTTAAAAATATATTTTTACCAGGTCTCTGTCATTGCTTATAAAAAGTAGTATATCTACATCAGAACAATTGTTGAATACTCCACCTAGTTAGAATTCACCTCACCACCCGATACCACCAAATACAATAAAGTAATAAATTATCACGTTTCAGGGCCGCCTTTCGAGCAACTCTGTTTTTAATTCCCCTATTTGGAATTCACATCTTATTCACGGCAAAGAAAATCGTATATGACGATTCTTGTTTAGCGGAAGACGTTTACGAGTTCGCTAGATATACCATGGAAGCATTACAAGGAGTATTTGTTGCGATATTATTCTGTTATGCTAATGCGGAGGTAAGTAGCGTCATACATTTTAATATTTAGCAGATGTAAGAGTTTGTTATTGGGACAATATAATTAAAAATATACATATGATTCACATAAATCCTCCGTCTAAAAGATTGATGACGAAAAGAGATTTTTTATTATGTAAAAAGACAATCAATAAAACTCCTAAGTAATCATCTTAAATTCAAATTCAATTCAATTTTTTAGGATATTGTACGATTAAGTTGAATAATCTCGAAACCCGTAATAAATTTTGAGAATCAAAAATGAATTGAATCAATGCCAGAGTAAAAAATTTGAGATATTTAGAATAGTAGAAATATTATGGTTTAGTTCACCCATCAAGGAATGTACTTATTTTTTATTGATTCTTAAATCATCTCTAAACATATTAGTTCAAGTTTTATTATTGTTTTACTATAATACAGTATTAATATCATTTTTAAGCTTTTAAAATTAGTATCTTATATTAGTATCTTAAGTTATCTTGGTCGCGCTCTCAAATAACCATTAAACTTTCAAAATTAGAACAAAATTACCAAAAATTTAATGGCACCTAGTGTGTAAAAATCACATTGTAATATTCGTGGGAATCGAATCATCAGTGTTCCCAAAATTTGGGTTGACCGACCAAGACATATGGGTCTTAAAATGTTCGTCTAGGCAAGAACTTTTGAAAAAATGTGGCTCTGAAAAATACAATATGGCGTCTGAAATTGCCTTTTGTCATGACATTAAATAAAAACGATTGTAAAATTCTTTAAAATTGTAAAATATATATCTAAAATGGGTGTAACAGTGATTCTAAGACCACTAATTAAGAATCTACCATTAAGATTGGAAATTCCAAAAGTACCGGCATGGGGGTATTTAAGGTCTCTCTATTTTAGCGTCGAAATTTCAAAATTCAAAATGGCGGATCCAATATGGCGGACATATGCCTATTTTATGGCTATAGTAAGATTTCGAATAAATTGATAGTATTAGTTAGCTTTTGAGAACTTTGATTAATTTTTGTGTTGTAACTCCAAAGGTTAAATAGGTGGATATAATAATAATAAGTCAGACAAGCACACTTTCTAACATATTTTCGGGGTTTTGAAATCTAGATTTCTCTCAATTTAATAGATAGGGAAAAGCTATATCTGCAGGTACCACAAACCCTGTAAATATTTAGTGAGTTAATCAATGGTTCTCCACGTAGATACAGGGTGATTCACTATATTTTGACCCCCCTTTAAGTTTTTTTGTTTTTAGAGTTCTACAAAAATGTGAAATACAAAAGTTGCACGATTTTTTATGAAGTTTTCGAAAATGATAGTAGAAAAGCAAATGAAGTCCAAACAAAATTGCAAAAACATTGTTAATTTAAATGGAACACCCTGTATATTTTTACATATTTGGATAGAGCGTTCCCTGTCGAGCATAGTCATATGGGGTTTGTTGGGTCCATCTCTAACAATAAGCGAGATACTATTACAAAACTAAAAGAAGGTGTTTTATTAAGAAAATAAGACATCAAGTAATTGTTTCAGGCATTTCTGCTTTTTTCTATTTACGTAAGGATACAGATTTAGTTGTAATATAGTTTGACATCGGACATTGATACGATCCAAAATGTGTAAGTAGTGACAGGTAATAATGTTATAATAACATTGTCAATGATTGACAGTTTGTATCATTATTTAATTAAAATGAGTTATACAGAAGTAGAAAATTGAAATATTATTAGGAATTAAAATAGAGTATGGAGAAGAATTTTACTCCCTGGCCATTTTGTTTGGACTATGTTTTTCTACTACAATTTTCGAAAACTTCATAAAATTGTTGTATCTTTTGTATTTCGTATCCAAATGGTAGATTCTTAATTAGTGATCTTAGAATCACTATTACATGCATAGATATTTTACAAATCTGACGAATTTTGCAATCATTTTTATTTAATATGCTATGACAAAAGTCAATTTCGGACGCCATATTTGATGCGCCATATGTATTTTTCAGAGAGTCATAATTTTTCCGAATGTTCTTGCCTAGAAGAACATTTTAAGGCCTCATACGTCCTTATCGATGAACCCAAATTTTGGGAGCACTGGTGATCCGGTAGACCTGAATTTTCCCTCCTGCAAAATATAATTTTTTTACATTTTAGCGTCATCAACAATTTACTCTGAAAAAATTGTACTTTAGGTGTTTGACTTCATCGAGGAGTTATTACAAAGTAAAAAAATCTCTTTTTATTAACAAGTTACAGGTTGTTTTCTAAGTTACCTTTTATAAGTTCAACGGGTTGTTTCTTGGGTCATTTTGGACTAAAAATCCGTAATACTGGTTTTCCAAGTAGAGGAAGTCCAAATAAAAAAAATCATCAAATATCTCGTACGATGGTTATCGCATATTAACAAAACACATACAAAGAAAGCAGAAATTTCCTAAATTTTTGAACAAATATATCAATTACTGGCGGATATAATATTAATAAAATACACTATCATCATCATATAATCAAAAGAATTATTAGCGTAGATATTTTAGTGGAGGCTAATGCTTCTAAAACTAAAAAAAAATTGTACGCAAATTATGTTTTCCTTAAAAACATTTTTTTTGAGTCGAAAGCTTTGAAGTTCATTTCAATTTATTTAACTGTATGAAAAGCTCAGGCACACAAAATATAACCAGAAAAGATATACTTTGTAGTATAACAACCCCGGATTTGATAAAAAAAAAAAAGAAAAATAAACGTAGTTGTGGCTAAAAATATGTGATCGTCATAAGGGTTCCCTACGTTGTATACATCTATTTTTAATTGACTGGAAGGCGCAGGCTACTAACTTTAAAGAGAAGTATAGTTTAATTTTATAAAACAAAAGCAGAGTAAATACACCTAACTTTATTATTTACGTACAACAGTCTTCAAATTAAACATGTGACAAATAAAAAGAACAACAAAAACATTAACAACCATTTAACATAAAATGAGAGTGCCAGGCTCACCTTGAGCTCCTGTGGGGAAAGAACATGGCAGAGAAACCCACGATCGTTGCTCTAACTACCCAAATATAAATACAAAACAACCGCTAACAAAAGGCATAAATTAATATCCTTTGCTAATGATAATTAACGGTGTGTCACTAAATATCATCTCACTCGAATTAGACATACACACTTCCAAGTAAAACTGAAGAGGTTATAATAATAATAATAATAATAATAATAACAACAACAACAATAATAACAACAATAATAACAATAATAATAACAATAATAACAATAATAATAAGTAAGGTACTGGAGTCCCATACGGGAGGCAATCCAGCTATGAGTTGAGATTTCGGAAGATCTGTTTTAGCAATTCTTTTTTTGTATTTAATTATTCTTTTTACAGATTCATTCCTCACGGACGAAAATGTTAGTAAATTCAACAAAGCTCTTATATGCGTATGACATAAAGTGAGCACAAGAAATGCTTTCTTATTTGTTTTTCGAACAATGTAATCATGACTAAAACCAGTTAAATGTGAAACAAAGGAGTTGTTATTGCAATATCCGGGCATATTTTAACATGTAATAAATAATGAGCAATCGTTAATAATAATTGTAACTATTTTATCTTAGAAAAATATACGCCCCTGAGCGGAAGACAATGAAGTCTAAACATACACAGAATTTTTATCATTAAACATCTATAATCATCACAATCATAAGATTGCATAGAACAATTAACAGCAAAGTACTTAGAGAAAAATTACCTGCTAGTTAATACCGGTTAAACACTTTTAATTTTTCACTACTTATATATTTTCACCGTGCACCGATCGTCTTACTTTTCACTCTCTGCGCTCTCCTCACTTCAACTATCTAGGCTTCCTTCCAGATGCTAATTAATACGGGTTAAACACTTCGATTTTTCACTATTTTGCCTCACTGCCCGCCGATCGTCATACTCCCATCTCCACATTGTTCTCACTTCAACTATTTAGGCTTCCTTCCAGAATTCCCCACCTAAGCGTTTGTTTTTGCGCTTCCTTCTACCAACTGTCCATATTACGTTTTCATTATTATACAACACCCACGTAACAGGTGACGTCGAAGTTGATACGATAAGTATGGTTTTGCACAACTTTTTCTTAGAAACATGTTTCTGCATAATCTGGAATTATGGAATTTCGGAAATACATGGCACAAGTTCTGCTGTTTTTAGTGATAATGTTTCTCAGTAACTCCGAATTCAGTAAGTTTTTATTTTAAATCACTCTGAAATTATGGTTGTCGTTATTACATTTTTTAGATTACAGAAAATTTTTATAGATCAAAGAAGTTTTAATATTAGGGCGAGTGCGGCCTAGCGACAATCATGTCATTGATATGAAAAGTTGTGTACCGCTGATCACGGTTAGTACTTAGATGGGTGACCATTCTGGGAAGATTCGCGATGCTCGTCCACCTTCTAATGGCCTTTTCATAGAAGTTATACTTTAGGCGAGGTTTATACATATAGAAAAACATACAGTCCCTCGGAAAGGATGTAAAACTGTTGATACCTTGTCTAAACAGTGTTTGGCAAGTAAAAGATCTCTATCTCACGGCAAAGTGGGGGTTCAACAAAATTTCCACGTTGGGAGTTGCTTGTCTCCTGGCGTCAGTGTTTAGCAGAAATATCCGACGTAAAATAACCAAATAATAATAATAAAAGTTTTAATATTATCTACAACATGGAAAGAAAATGTGAAAAATGTTATTGAGTTTACTGTATTACCTCCTAAATGTTACAACAGTTGGTTGTAAGATTTGCTAATTGTTGGGGAAATTAAATTTTATTAAGTTTATAAAAACTTGCATTTAAAATAAGAAAATTGGTAGCTGCTTCATTAGACTTACCCATATGTAGTTAGTTGCTCAATTATTTGTGATCATGAAGTTTTAATTTTTATAAAAAATGCAGTCATTAATACTAGTTAATTGAAATAAAATTGTTAATTATTAAACTACCTTGTGTTTTTTAGGTTCACAATGAAATACGAAATGGTTATAGGAAGTTCGCCATTTACTGCAATCAAAAATTTGGCTGGAATTTAAAGACACAAACGCTTTATAGGCGTAGAACAACTGCTGCCACTTATGTTCAACCAGAATATGATAATTAATACAGTTGTCAAGTTGATTTTTATTTATTATATTAAAAAAATACATTCTTGTTACTGATGCTAATATAGCCAATAAGTTAGAAAATTGCCAACATAATTTATTGTGAATTCTAAGTATGAAGAAATTATGCATTCCACTAAATGCAGTTAGAGTAAAATATTTTAATATCGTTTGCTTAACACTACATTTAGCTTTAATTTTGATATTTTATGTAGATACTAGAATTTAATTTATAAAATGTTGATGTCAAAGATATAGGAGATGAGACTTTGAAAAATAACTTAAACATTATTACCGTTCGTAATTAAAACGTCTTAAATGACATTATAATTATTTTGAAAAAATTCTTTCGTCCATCCGTCCGTTTCCGTTGCCTATGAGTTTGTTTTTTATATAAACCTATAAACATGGGCGTAGCCAGTAGGGCAGGAGGTACAACCGAACATTAATTTATTATTTCTTCAGAATATCTAAAAATACTTAACAAATTAAATTATTTTAGCAATATAATTTTCATTCATTTTAATTTATTAATTTTTTCTTGTTTACCTCCGCAGTTTAAGTTACATAATTAAAATGGAGTAAATGGTCCATGGTGAAAGTGCCTCAATAAAATATTTTAGTCAACCAGTGTACACTCGGGGCTTTATAAATTAGCCCGGATTAAAAAAACGTGGTTATAACAAATTTGATAAATATTCTTGATCTATTTGTACACAACATTTGAATGTACTACCAGTATAATAGAACATCTTGAAATAGAAGGTTCCAATAGAAAAATTGCTAACTTCTCAGTTTCTACGTTTTAAATAATACGGCGGACCAAGTATGTATGAAAAAGGCCAGAATAATTTCTACAACAATATAATTGGTACGGTTGAGACTAGCTCGTTTAAATTATTTGATACATTTATAAAAAACTGGCACAATGGCTAAATTTACTCAAAACCTTAGTATGTTCTACCTCATTTACAACTGTGCAATATATTCATTTTAAAGATTTTAGATGAAATTAAGTGCTTTTCCTGTGATTTTTGGTCTTTGGTGTCTCGTATGTCTTTATACAAAAATAATTGTTTAGTTTATTTTTATATATTTTCACTCATATTTGTTATATGTTTTGAATTATAAAAAATAAATAATGAAAATTTTATTGCGTATTCTTTACTTAAATATAAATATAATATGTACTAGTCTGAAGATGTAGGTATTAGGAATTTTAATCTAGATAAACACACTACTGAAAAATTTCACAAATTTAGTGATTCTTGAAATGATGTACAAGTATATCAGTGAAAAATGGTTGTGCCGAGATAAAAAAACATTTTGAAGCTTTAAGTCTCTAGTTTCAAGATCTCTTGACAATACACTTTTTTGAGGTTCGGTTATCAAGCAATAAAAAGAAATAACAATACCTAATAAAGAAAAAAATCCTTTCTTTTCTTCTGTAGGTCTATCCACGGACGAATATTTTTTAACTCATTCAATACAGAGGTTAGTTAGTGTTATAAGGCTACGGTTATTTTAAAAGTTGTGAACTGTATGAACGCCTAACTGTTAGACAAGCAAAAAAAGACGGTTGGAGATGG